ATATGCGTTTTTGCTGCCTGTTGCAGCGCTCTAGCGCTGCACGGCAAAAACGCATAATAAAAACTATCGCATGGCGTCATACAGAACTGAAACAGCGTGGGCAGGATTTTTTAGGTTTGAAATTTCTTAGCATTCTAGTTGTCGTTTTTGTGCTGATTTTTTGCAGTTTTTCCGCTACGTTCCAGTTCTCTTTTCAACAGTTGCGGCTTTTTGCGAAACTTCGCGAGACAGATGGGAAGCACTACTAAGGTGCTGTGTTTTTTGTTGACTGAGTGTATAAACAGTTTGCTGTTACTTTGAAAATGTCATCACAGTATGTAATCATTTCAGTCCGGTGACACTGTGGATTTGTTGGTATTGTAATCACGCAACAAATGTTTACTTATTTTAAAAATTTGTCGATGCAGTATATCATCAGCTCGGTGGCAAACAAAGTTAGTGATGAAGTGCTGAAAGACTACACTAAATTCCAAAACTCATACATTCTGCTGAAAAAACTGTTTCTTATAAACGAGAAATGTGGTGCTCCACATCCAAAAAATGGCAGTTTTCTATTGCTCCGATATTTTATTTTCATTTTTGTTCTTCAAAAAATTTGGGTTCCTTGCTCTTTTCCGGGTAATTTAGGTAAGGCCTTAAAGCAGCTGATCAGTTAGAGTACTTTTCATGAATTCAGCATGTTTTAGGGAAGGCCCGTAGGTAGCGATTACTGTATGGGGCAATGCTAAAGCGGAGCAGTGGTGGCCCTAATTTGTGTTGTGGACAAAGTGTTGCCACCGTGTGGACGGGTTTTGTCTTTTGTTCCTGAGAAACTCCTTTTTCTTTGTTGAATTTTAACTTTTTGTCTTTTTTTTTTTAATAAAAATGATAGTAAATTCTTTCAAGTGAAACGCAAACCACCAGTCCTTCGAGTTCTTTCTCCACTTCATACTCTCCGCTTTCAGATGTCCCACGTTCCGTTGTTTTTGTAGGCGAGTACGTTTCACATGCAGCCGTCGTTGCGCTCACTTCATCTACAGATGGATGTCGGTGTTGCTCCATTATCGCTTCAACTACAGGCGATTGCTGCTGCTGCCCGGCTGCGAATTCCTCGACAACCACTTCAGCTGCCGGTGTCGTAGCCTCATCGTTTCCACGTACAGTGAACACAAATGCCCCAACAAGCAATAAGCTAAAACAGATCACTGATGATAATTGCCATAACTCAACCTCGCTGGCAGACCTTCACATCTTTTGTGGCGAATTTTTATTCACGAAAAGATGAAAATCCTTGGTCTCAATGTATAAATTTTTGAATTTGTTGAATTTTGGTTACCTGAGTATTTTCACTGTCATTGTATGTTGTGACAGGTGAGCACTCTTCGATATTTCACCAACTGAAATAAATTTACCAAAATTTAAGGCGCATATTTTGAAACGGCTTTTTATTGAGGTAGTTATACGTCATAATCAAAGCGGAAACCCCCCTCCAGGGGACCTGCGTGAAGGCGAAGGCACTTGGAAAGTAGCTCGATTGGTAGCAAGTGCCAGCAACAACCACCCGCTGGCAAGTTTGTTGATCTTTCGAAGGTTGCTTAGAATCAAGCTGGTGGTGTTTTGACTCCTGGCTCCTGTAGGTGCCAATTTACCGTTGAAACAAATGAGCGAGTCACAAAGAAACTATTTTTTTACTCGTGCTTGAGTCGAACCTCCGACATAGGAAACAAGGGAAAGGAGTCCAGTAAAAGAAAAAGTCACAAGATGCTGCTCTCATTTTTCAGTCTCTTTATAAAAGCTGAGTCCAGCGAGCAGTCTGAATTCGACAGCATAATCCTTACATATTCAGCATGTGGTATATGTATATAATGAGCAATAATCCTGTCTGCTAGGATTATTACTCATCGCTTTAGCCCAAATTTTTTGTTACGGAACTTTC